TATATGTTTAAGTTAATAGCAGCATATCGGCCGAAGCAAAATTGATAAATATATTGATAAATATATAAAGTACCTGCTTAGCTAGTAAGTACAAATCAGTTTAAGTTGAAGCGAATATGAACGATTGTTTCTCTAATGACCAAAATTAGTCGATAATTTTGTATCATGCCATAGATTTCAGTATGGGTGGATTTTGCATAGGTCACAGACGTATACCTACATATACATCAAATTAAAAACCTCGGTATACTACATACTATAACGAATTCTCTAGTAGCCTGTATATTTATTTAAACGACTATTATTTAATACAATATATAGGAACGGAAACCTCTAGTGATATACTAATATATCAATAAATGCATATACGACGATTTGAAATGTGCGGAACCAACCAAACAATCGCCCGATCATTTGGTCTCTAGCATGTGGTGACACTAATTTTAGGTTTATGGACCATTATATTTGGAATTAGGAAATTTGGGTTTATTTCTGTTATTCCAGACGTGATGCAATGATCGCATTGTCGAAAAGATCTGTAGTGAAAGCGAAATAGCTGAAAATCGCCACAAACGCTCACAAGTGTGAGGAATTTTGTTTATAAACATGTTTTTTCGTTTTTCTTCCATAACTTTTTTTTTATGAAATCCTACAAATGGCGAATTTCCTTATTCGATTATGGTAACGTGTCTATCACGTATTGGCGAGCTACGCCTGGATACATAGTGATCCGCAAAATGTAGCATTGTACTACAGATGGCGTTTACCGCGCCATTTGTGGTATTTCATAAAACGCGCTGTTAAGACAGCAGGTAACAGTTGGTCTGTGTTCTGCCGAAACTGTCGACTGCGACTGCGACGCGCTGATGAGATCCAACTAGATCGAAATCGCGATCCGCATCTGGCAGTTTCGACAGAATATTGACCACTTCGAATTCTTTATTTTTTTCTTTTGATTTTAGCGAAAAATGTTAAATGATAACATTATTTAGAATCAATTTTTCGGTAAGGGTAAGGGGTCCGATTTTTCAGTCAGAAATTTTTTTCAATAAATGAAGATTTATCGAGAAAAAGCGATTTCTTTCATATCCACCATTAAGATAGAAATCCGGTGAATATTGCATTGAAATTTTCGGAAAAGAAACCTTTTTTACAGTTATCAATCCCCCTAAAATTTTATTCCGATCGAATAAATAGGTGGCCAACAATTAATTTGTTGAAGAAAATTTATCACTTTGAAAAATGAGACCCGCTCACCTTTATCAAAGAAGAGATTCTAAATAGAGTTCTCATGTAACTTTTTCCGATTAAATCATGAAGGGGGCTTAGTATATCACACAGTCTCTACCGAAACTTCAATTTATAACTTTTTTTTTTGATTAGAGTTTATAACGAAGAATTTTACTATAACTTTGGAATAATGTGCTCTTATAAACCTGTATGGTATTGAATTAACATTTTCCAATATAACAATATGATTTGAGGTACACTTACAGTTCATTTTTGAGACAATTGTTTTATATTCTAGCCTTAAAGTCTGACTGGACCATCAAGTAGGTATAGTGTGCTGTTAATGAGTACTATTTTGCTTCAAATACATGGAAAAATACATTGATATCATATTCGTTGTCCCAGAAAAATGAATACACACCCTTTAATTTGGGCATTTTTGCATGAACACTAGATATAGATTACGCCTGCAGAAATTGTTATTTGGCGACGAAAATAAACAAATATAAAATATAAATTATACATTTGTACCTACACATTTCTTTCGTCTTGAGTAATTCTTCCAGTTAGAGACATATTAGCAGCTGAAATAGGAGTTGAGAGGGAGTAAAGGTAGGTTTATATTATATTACTGTTTACAAATAGTTAAGAATGTGGGATGTTCTAATTTTAGAGAAATTGGAAGATTGGCTAAGGATAAAAAAGAGTGGAGGTGCGTGTCCAACCAGTCTCACGATAAAGGACTCCATGATGATGAGCGACTTTTCGCATTTCTCTAAAACGAAGACATCCCACATGGCAAACAGTAAACTAATGTCTAATCTAAGTCTACTTTTGTCCTCCTTCCTTCCTATTCCTGCTTTATGCATGTCATTATCTAGCCCTTCGCGCCTCAGAAACTGTCATATCATCCTACCTCTTCTTCAGTTATTGATTTCGATTGCTCTGCTTTTGTTTCTAATACTTGCTCATTCTATACTCGGATGTACTTTCATACCCCCTTTTGTCAATTCCCCTTTCAGTTTATTTAAGATTATCTCTAACATCTAATTCCTCCCTGCTAGATGCCAACAGTGCTATATGCTAATTTTTTGTCGTTATATGTGTTTGCTTACCAAGGGGCATGGCCTAGAGATTTAGTCCATTGCTTAGCATTTGGAGGACACCGGTTCGATTCCGGGTCCGTCTGCATTGGTCCAAGTTTTTTAGGAAAATGCTGGAGCAATAATATTCCACATATAACCATTCATTCTGTTATGTCTTCATTTCGTCCGTCTCATCTTTCTTACCCGAACCACCACCCACCCATTCTCACAATTCCTGAAAGGAGGCTGAAGAGGGCCTTCCGCCCAACGTTCCAGCGTAGTCCGGAGGGACTGCCCGCCCACCAGTATTAGCGTCTGGTGGGTATGAAACACCCAAAAGTTTTTTTTGTTTACCTAATAATGTTGGCTTGTCTTTAGTAATATTTATCTAATTAACTAACTTCCTGCCTTAGATTTACTTCGTTTGCTGCTCAAATTCTATAGCTGCTTGCATGATGAATAACTTGAAATACCTATGTTTATTTTAAGCAGCCCTTTTATTGGTCATTTAACCTTTAATTTACTTAAGTATGATTTTATTAGATCATGAGCAAATGAAGGCCTTTGCAATGATTTAAATCAGAGACTGCATTAGTACTGTGCAAGATACTGGGAATCAAGCATTCTTTATTAACAATTGCAGCCTTATCATTCTTTTCTTGTGATATCCTAGTAGGCATTTATAGTGGATACTAACAAGTTGCTTAGTCAGTTAATCCATCAGTGTACACTGGAACAAGGTGTTACGTGCTCGTGACGTCACCAACGTTTTGTTACCAACTGATTGATGGACCCAGCTTTTATGGAGCTGACGTCCCTGGAGTAAAGCCGTGTTGTAATCATTCACTTCTCATTGTTACATTAAAAGGTTATTAAGTAACAACGGAAGCTGGAATGCAACGTCATCCTGGTACATCATCTGAGAAGAGATTTCTGTATGAACGGGATTAATGAATAATTGAGCAGATGAAAGTGCACTTATGAATGAGTGCAGAAATTGATAAGTGGTTACAAAAGGATGCGGTTTATTAGAAGTAATGAGATGTTCTAGAGTTATTTAAAGATATTTTGGAGTTATGAACAATTGAATGACAAAAGCTGATTTCCAATATTCGTTTAGTTACCATTTTGTATGAATCTTGAACTTACAGGGTGCTGATGAGAACTAATATGCTTGAAAGTTCGTCTGGGTTTTGATAAGTCTACTGACCAAGAACTGAATATTTTTTAGTTACTGATTCAATAAATTGAGGAGGAAATAGAGTGAGAAACTTGGATAAGTTTCACTTACCTACGAACAGTATATTTATCACTTTTGATTTTGTTAAAATTTTGTACCCTTTTACTATAACCTTTAAGTCGAAACAAGTTTTTCAGAATAAATATGTAAACTAAGTTAACTATCTCAAGAGTTCTTAATTCTATTTTAACTTCAATTTATCAAGAAACAAATTCATAAAACTTTCTACACAGTGGGGGCAGTTGTTTAAAATTAATTTAAACACTTTAATTGTTTATAACAATAAGACAAAAATATCAAATTATCAAATTTTTTATCATTTCTATTTACCAAGATATTAAAAAAAAAATCGTCGAACACATACCTCTTTTTTTTTTCGATATAGAACCCGAACATAAAACTTCAGCCAAATCGAAATTGTGTCGGTCAGTTTATATCCAAATCTGTCCGATTTGTAAAGGAAACAGAAAAAAAAAACAGCTAAAACAATAGAAAGAGCCCTATCTTCCGTAGAGACCATGATTGTCTCGAGGTAGAATCGTTATGCTTTTTTGTAGAACGACTGTACTAACTTTATGTTGTATTGGACAGTTTGAAATCACGATCCACATATCTGGTAATTGCTTCATTAAGTTTGCGCGCAATGGTACTTGTCCAAACATGAAATATTACAATTAGTGTACTTCATTTACTTTCTCTAGCGATGTGCCCCTTCCAATGTCTTGGATGCGCGCTGGCAAAATCGTAGGTAGGGAGAAAAAAGTTCATTATACTCTCGACTTTTGTTCATTAAACATACTTTTTCATACAGTACCTGCCAAAAGTTTTGTTCAATCATGAATAGTAGTGCGAGTCGAAAACAAGCGTTAAAGCCTTTTAATATATCTTCAAATATAAATAAACATCTCCTTGATATTTTCAGTAGTAAATGGTACCAATAACAGCGCATTTGAGTAATGCAATTGTAGTGGATAAAACGGTCAATTTTTCCGTGCAGTACTGTACGAATTATCCGCTCCTCACCGGTTAAGAGTTTGGCCGAGAGTTGTCTCCTTCCTTTTCTGGCCTAGTGCGGCTCTTTTCTACTTTGCGCCGGTCAAGCTGAATGTCACATCGCTACAGAAGTACACGAAGTATAGTAAATATCAGCAGATGGGTGATACATTGTCTGTACCTTGAAATTGTTTTGCTTACACTACAGCATACCATTTTAGGTTATACTCAACATCCTTTTTTATCAAAACAGCAGCATAAACGTCTGATACTATCGATTAAATAAATTGAGGTAAACGTCGACCAACTACATTTATTTAATAAATCTTTTTATTTACAAAAATTAAACGGAAAGGTCAGAAGTATACATGAACGCACTTGAGTATATTTACAGTATAAGTAAATACAATTTGTTACGAGTAACATTGTGGAAACGCAAATTACAATTTTCAAAGTGAAACATCGAAAAATTGTTAAACAGAGGTCACAAATAGTATCTAAGTCCAATTTTAATCTTTAAAGTGCGAACCAGAAAAATAGATAGTCAAACTTAACATAAAAATACCTTTGTATACGATAACCTTGTGTGCCTGAACTTGTTGCAAGAGTTTAGTGTTTCGTCGATACGAATATTTTCACTTGGTAGTGCAGGTTGTTCCAGTATTAAACGTGTTCATACAACAATGGGCATAACAACTTGTCGTTAAACATACAACATCACACTTTTTAATAAATATACACTAGTAAGGTCTCCAAACGTCAGTCTGCCTAGCCCCACTGCCCTTTGATACTTTAAGAAGTGAAGCACTACCTGAATCCTTCTCGTTCCTCTGTCTCACTAAAGTCACATTTGCCTTCTTTCCTATTCGTAAGATGGTGCCATCGTCTTCGTCTTCATTGTTGTTTTCGACTCTCTCAACATGCTCTACGTCCACTTCACTTCCGTTGTTTTCCCTTTTTCTATTTTCCTCTTCTGTTACGTCTAAATGAATACCCGAACTGTCTGGATTCGGCAAACTTTTTACATCCTGAGGTGAATTGCTTCTTGCTGATGTATTTGCAGTAAAAAGCGATTGATGACGAAGTTGAATCCAGGGCCAATCTGGGGTATAAAATTGGGAATATAACCATTGACCAGGGGGCGGAAGCATTGGCGTGTTCAGAAATAGACTGGCTGCTAAAGCGTTACTGAAAAGGTGGTTGTTAGGAAGGGCGGAAGACGGAAGGACTCCAGGGAATGCAGGGGCTGTGCGAGGAGAGGAAAGGGGAGACCCTGTTACGGAAATGTTGTCTTCAGGGGATGATGTCCTTGCAGTTGTCAGTAGGCCAGGGTGAACCGGCGACGATTTAGGTGATGTAGTTGTCCCGTTACAATTGATAGAAATTGGACCAAGGGACGAACTGGGATCTATATTATATAAAATAAACGTCATATTTTATTTAGAAGAAACCGTTTAAAAAAGTCTGTTCACAGAGCGTGAGCCAGAANTAGCTACAAGCTATCCAAGGATGGTACTATAGAATGTCACCTCAAGGTAGGCCTAGTGGCGTCATCTCTTGGTTAGGCCGGAAACTTATCAATCCACCCTCGTATACATCAGTATGTATTCGTCTTGTTAGGCAAAGTTCAACAAAGAGTTATTTGGTTTAGTTACAGTATCGTACTGGCGACTATTTCATGTACCTACATTAAGCATTCAAAACCATACACAATTAAAAAAATCAATTTTAACAGCCCAAGAATTTTAGAAACAAAGATTAACGATTGTTGACGGACGTTGCTGCAGTATCCAAATTTGATTTACTAGACAGTGTTCAAAAATACTAAAAAATATGGGTGCAATCTAAAAAATGTAGGATAAACTTGTTCAGAATTCCAAAATAATGCAAAAAATGACGTGGTGATATTCAAATCTCTTCATTATCTTAATTGATCTTGAGATTAAGCATAAAAATTGACGTTAACTTATTGAGTCCAAATTGAGCTTAAAAAAGAAAGTAAATTTTTCTTCAAAACGATGTTGTACCTCCATACCTACATTTATCCAAATACGAACTTTTTGGGACACTTGAACCGAATAAAAGAACATTTGAATATCGCAGTGATGTTTTGCATAGTTTGGTATCTTACCATTCTGAACAACTTTATTCTATAATTTTTTTCGATTGACCTCATATTTATCTCTACGTCATTTAAACGAAACATTCTTTTTTATATTTTTGGACACTATTAAAATACAGAATAAGTTTTGTTTAAAAAATTTTTCAATTAAACTTCTAAATAGTTTGGCCACAATGAGCATTTTGCGAACTGTTTGGGTCATTTGACTTGAAAAAAAAAACATTTCAATATCGCCGTAATTTTCCTTCTATTGAATATCAAATTTAGATGATGCAGACAATCTCATATCACAATAAGGAAAATTTTTTGATTAAACTTATAGTTTGACCACAACGAGCATATGGCGTACAGCCCGTGTAACTGCTTTATTTTTAATACAGATACGTATTTAGTAGTCTTTTTTACGCTTAAAATTATTCCTATTACAAAGTAATCAATAGTTTTTTTGCAATCGAATTTCTTTTATTTTCAACCCTTCAAAGCTACGTATTTTTAGTTCCTTAAATGTGCGATTAAAAACAATTAAAAGTCGTTGTTCATATCGAACGTAAACCTGAAAATTTCACCCTTAAAAACGTTTCTCCGCAAAAAAATACGTACCTAACAATTTTCATGTAGATTAACATATTACAAGCGCCACTAAATCGGAGGCGGGCATCTCGTTAGATTAAATTATAGCCCTAGAGCTCATCATCCGGAATGTGTATAAATACAGTATTGTGAAAATGTCCTATTTTTTCAAAATTACATAATCGGAATAGTGCTCAGAAATTTACTCTTTTTTGTAATAATTTACTTTAATTCTGTTCGCCACTCTTTTTGTTTTTTTACGCGTCTAGTTTTCTGGAATTGATTAGGTATACCGAGATATAAATTTCTGCAAAATTTTGAGCACTGTCTCAATTACATGGGCTAAAGCAAAATAGGGCACTTTCACTCTCTATATTTACCCCTTATTGTTTGTCTGTCCACCTGTTCAGAAACGCGTCAACTCCTGTTGTCGAAATATGTTACCATAAAAATAGTTCATATTTCTGATAGCGTCAGAACATTGTATCGATCTCTTCTAACATTATTTAGGCTAGATCTAGGTTATATTCGTTAGTTTGGATATCAATATCTACGACGTATGCTATTTTCGCATAATAAACTCACATTTTCCGATCGATAAAATTTCGCCATCAGTCTTAAAATTTTATCTTCAATATAGCTAAAGAAGTTTCACTTGAACAAAGCAAAGAAAGAAAACGCAACTAAATTTCATTAATGATAGCAATCAATAATTTAATTACCATTTGAAATTCTTGGAGATGAATTATGCGACCGATTGTCTAAAGCTGCTGCAAACATTTGTTGCGGAAAATGAGGATGGTGATGTGGCAAGAATGGACCTGTATGATACTGGTGAATACCCGCAAGCGCTGCCCAATCTGGATGAGGTCCAGGGAAACCAGCTAAATGGCTGGCAAGTCCTGAAAAGAAACAACAAGTGCCTAAATATTTTACATTGACTAATTTAAAGTAATTAATTGTTAAAACAGTTGAACAGTTTCACATTTGGTAACATGAAGGTCTAGTCAGAGACATATTAGAAGCAGAAACGGGAGTTAAGAGGGGTAGAGGTAGACCTAGGTTTAGATTACTGTTCGCAAATAGTTAAGGATGTGGGTTGTTCTAGTTTTAGGGAAATGCGAAGATTAGCTTAATATAGGAAAGAGTGGAGGTACGTGTCTAACCAGTCTTATGATGATGATGATGATGAATATTAAAAAAAGTCATCCAAGCCGAACATATTATTTAACCATTATCATCATCATAAGGTCGTCAGTCTTAAAGTGGATGGAAACGCATCTCCACTCCTTCCTATCCTGGACTAATCTAATAAAACTAGAATATCCCACATCCTTAACTATTTGGGAACAGTAACCTAATCTAGGTCTACATCTACTCCTCTTAACTCCCGTTTCTGCCTCTAATATGTGACTGATTAGACCTTCATGTCTGAGAAGGTGTCCTAGCAACCTATCTCGTCTATTTTTTATTGACTTCCATAGAGTTCTCTGTTCTATTCTTTCTAATACTTCTTCATTTCTAACGTTCTATATCCACGGTATCCTCATCATTTCGAACACTTTTGACCTTTTCTTTTCCGCCGCGCCGACTGTGCAATTTCGCGACCGTACAGCGCATCGCTCGAAACGTACACCTTTAACAATCTTTTTCGAATTTCTAAATTAATCGTTCGCAAGCACAGAAGTGACTTCTTTTTATTGAAGGCGACTCGGCCGTGCGCTATCCTCTGCTTTAACCAAACTGTTATCCTTGATGCCTGATTTCAACAACAAATGTGAAATCATCTTAATATTGTGTTGTTTCTGTTGCTACAAGTTGTTTTGAAATAACCTTCACAATGAAATGATAAAACATACAACTGAAGAGTTATACACATTTCTCCAACCTGTGAACGCTGTAGTGAAACATTTCAATTACTTTTTGACGTTTATCTTTGAGGTACTATTTACCTGCTTTTTAAGAAGCAAGAAATTTCATTTTTTTTTTCTAAAACAGTTAACTAAATGAAATTTTATACATATTTTTCAAAAATGCAAACCTGCACCAGCGATAAATGACCGAACTTCGCCATTATAGATTATTACATAAATTGCTAAAACGGCTGCTGTAAAAGGAGTTTTAGTCTCTGACATTAAATAAAGATTAGTGTAAGTCAATAGTTGAATATATTTTACCAGTAGAACATAATTTAAATACCCTAGAATTAAACAAAAATTGAAAATTCTTAAGATATATTTTTTATTTCATGTTGGAAAACCTACGATTGTCGTACTGTTAAAGGTTTCAGTATCATATGTTCCATTATTTATATTATGTATTTGTGAACAGGGTAGCTGATCTAGTGGAGGCAGGGTTACTCGGTTTTGACGGTAATTAAAATTTTAAACGATCCAAGAGTGCCTCTGACCCTTTCGAAATAATCGCTAATAATCCCCGAAGAAAAAAACAAGAAAAACAACGCGAATCCGTCTTTAATCCCGAAGAAAGAGCAGCATCGGAACGAGATTAAAGTAAATACGGCAATTTAGCGCTGCGTCGGGACGCCACCCTAGCCCGGGCGTCGGAAATTTAGAGGATTCACTCGCAATTAAAGTAGCCCTTAAAGATAAGCCGGGGGCGTAAAAAACATCCCTCGACAAGGCGAAAAACTTCGTTACGGCCGAAAAGAAGATGAAGACGACACAGAAGTGGAAGAATAAGAACAAGAAGAAGAAGAATAAGTGGAGACTTGCTAACAACAACGCGGAGGATTTTTCTCGGCGATCCTCTAAGTTGATTGCAGGCGTAATGAGGGGTGGAATGACATTTATCTTGCAAGGGTTAAGCCTAGGTGTTGGCCCGGTGATTATTCAACCCCTTTAAAACGGAGCAAGACTAATGCTGTGCCGCCATTAAGGGGTTTTAATCTTGGAGGAACGTTAAGACGCAAAACGCTCGGGTGTACACACGATTCATCACTAAAGGCAAGCAAGCAAGCACCTACACACATGTAAACGTAAACGTAATGTGGGGCCAACTATGTACATATGCGATGCTACCGTGTGTAGATACATACACTTACATAAAATACAGATTCGCGTAAATAGGGCACGAAAGCAAGCAGAGAACGCAAAGAAGAAATCGATAACTCTACCGTAGACAAATAGGATACAGCATCCCATTTCTTATTGATAAGGGAACATCTTACAGTACATAAAGACTTTCCTATTATTTATGCATATCTAGGTACAAAAATGTTTGCACATATATAGTAATAGGGTAATAGCTATTTAAAGGTTGAAACTAACCTTTTGTGTTAGAGCGCATAAACTTACATACGAAGCAACTAAGTAGGTATTCCACGGACGACATCCGAATGTAAAATGTATTGTATTGTATGTTTTAAGGAGCACAATAAGTCAGAACAAATTTGTATCAAGGTGTGACCCCCCTGAGGTCCACATGAGAAATATACAAGTACATACATACATAAATAAATAATTCTTATTTTTTTGTTTGTCTTTATATTTTGTTGGTTTTAAATAAATTAATCCCCAAATCTTCCTTTTGCAGTTTTTTTGTTAAACAAAAGAAAAACGGATTTTCCGAATGTTATAAAATTTTATTTAGATTATATGGTTGTTAATACCAGAAATGCACCGGATAGTGCTTTTGCGGGGAATCGAATAACCGGGTGACCAGCATTAAATATATCGTTGCGCAGTTTAATAACTTGTTCTGATTATTGGGGTATGTAGGTTTGGTTATTTTATTATTTTCATGCCACAGTCTCCTTTTCTATAATTACCAATTTTCAGTAGATAGTGTTTTTGTTCATCATCATAATCATCTTGAGGTCGTCAGTCCTAACACTGGTTGGACACGCACCTCCGCTCCATCCTATCCTGACCTAATCTTCGCATTTACCTAAAACTAGATCATCTCACATCCTTAACTATTTGAGAACAGTAATCTAATCTCGCTCTACCTCTACTCATCTTAACTCCTCTTTCTGCCTCTAATATACCTCTGACTAGACTGCATGCCTGAGAAGGTGTTTTACCAACCTATCGCGCCTATTTTTATTGACTTCCATAGAGTCCTCTGTTCTCTTACTCTTTCTAATACCTCTTCATTTCTAACCCTCTCTGTCCACGGTATTCTCATCATTCGTTGGTAACCTTTTCTTTTCCGCCGCGCCCACCGTCCTTGTTTCGCACCCGAACAGCACCTCCCTCCAAACATACACCTTTAACAATCTTTTTCGAATTTTTAAATTAATTGTTCGCGAGCATAGAAGTGACTTCTTTTTATTGAAGGTGACTTGACTCTGCGCTACTTTATATACCTTTACATACCTACATTGTATACCTACTACTCCTTCCGTCCTGACTCATCTGACTTCCTATATATCTAAAATCGGCCACTTCTTCTAATTTTTCGTCTCCTATCTTTATATTCTCTCTTTCCCTACTTTTTCGTCCCTTGTATACCAGTATATTTGTTTTACTTTTATTTATTGAAGTGAAAACTTCTTTAGCGACGTTGGGCACTTTTTGGCAGGGGAAAATATTATGAGTTCGCGTCACCGACATGCTCACGATCGTACATCGTCAAGTATTGAAGATGCCATCTATTAGGCATGACGAAATGTCTGCAATCAGAATTCGACCAAGGCAGAAAAGCTCAGAACTCTTCATCATCACCCATTGTTAATATTACCAACTTCGCCCCCTCGTCTAACCGTTATTAGTGCATAATCCTGGAGCATCTTAGAATTGAACTTGAAGATTCTTCGTTTCTTTGCATATTGATATATAAATGAGTAGAAGCCAACTATGTAGAATTATACTATCGTACTTTCCTTCACAAAATGTATGGCCAATCTTCTTCTTCTTCGTAGTATTAGTAAATAACTAATGTATCAATCAAAATAAAAGATTTAACTTCTGAAGAAACTATAAGGGAGTGATGCTCAAGTCAAGTGTTTATAAATATGGAAATCGATAAGTGAGTTTTATTTCTGATTAAACGAAACACCATCAAGTAAAGGACGAATCAATTCTATACTCATTTGGTGTAACATCTGAAGAAGTCTGTATGGCGAAAGAATATCTACAGTTAGGCTCATTTAATTAAATTCATAAAGTGCTTATTTATATAAGATTGTGCTAACGTAAAAGTACTTACTTATGCTACGTATCACTTAAAAGTGTAATTGTTTCAAAACACTGCATTCGTTTTACTACAGACTATACGAGTTTGCTTTTTTGTTTGTCTTATTTAGATAAATTTTGGCCAACAGTTTTTATTATCAGTGATTGTAGCAAATAGAATCATTAAATCGCTATTTCTCATTTATTTTTTCATAGTATTTATTTTTCATTTTTATTAGATCTGTTGAAATGCATATTACTGGAACCCTGTCTAATTCTTAAATTCCTTCGTTTCTTGAAATCTACTAGAAAAATAAAATCCCTGTTGCCTATGCCATCGTTAGAATTTTGCACAAAGAAGTATCAGATTGGAGTTCCCGAATTTAACCGACCGGTACGATCTTCATTCGATTCCCTTTGTCGTGCTAAGTGGAATTTCCGTTAGGCAGAAGGAAACATTAACGAAATGGCAAGGATAAAGAGACGATGATGGCCTACTATGTGCCACTGAAGATGCGGGAATTAATAAGAAACGCGTTCACGAGTGAATTTCATTTTGATGGGCGTGAGGGTTAATTTTCCGTATTAACTTATAACTAGAGCAGGTACGCATGTGTGCGTAGGTATAAAGAGTCTCTATTACATCTCCAGGAAATTATAAGACATTGGGGTGATGAATCCACAGAACTAGTAATACTATCTTTATGCAACCATTCATTTATAGACTATGGTGGTCTAATTTAATAAAATACGAACAACGGTAC